AGAAGGAATTGTCTCACCCACACATGAAGTCTGAACTTGTGTGCCAGACCAAAACACATCTTTCTTAACACTTGCAAGAACAACTACCTTTTTTTCAGACTTTTCTTTGAAGCAAAATGTGATTGTCTTAGCAGCATTCCCCTGCTTTTGTTCTGACACAGCCATCAGACCTTATATCCTTTCAGCTGGATAAACCACAGCCAGCTTCAAGTCACTGAGCCTAAAAGGTGACCAAGCAGCTCTGCTGGTATTGATTTGAAGTTGAAATGGGTTGCAGAGGTCATTGTCTTCAATTAAGCCCCACCAAACTAGTAAATCACACTAGAATTGACCTTTGACCTTCTTTAGCTTTTGTGCCTTTGCTTTGGCCCCTTTAACCAGCTACCACATCAGCATAACTCAAGACCCAAATTGTCTACATTTAAGTTTCATTTTTCACATTACAAAAGACAAAAAAGACATGTCTGATAAATAATTAATAATAATTTAATGTGCACGGTAATTTTTTTTTTATATCATACACCTTGATATTTTTACAGCGTGTTTAAAAAGCAAGTATGAGTACAAAGCAAAGTCAAAGACTTGGATTTGAGCCAACTTCAAGCTAAAATGTAATTAAAGCAAACAAACTGTAGACTATTAAAACACTTCACAGCATGTCAGCACTGTCTGCTTACCTTTTATTGTTCCGGCCACACCCCCACCCCCACTTCTAAAAAGTCTACATTTCTAGTTTGTTGGCCCGCATGAAACCGTATACGTTAGAATGCGTGTGATATGATCCGCATTCTCTTCTCTGGCCTTTTTGAAACCATCACGGAAAATCTCCTTGTTCTGGGAAATTATACTCAAAAGTAAATTCAGAAAATTCAAACTGCCTTTTAATTTTAGCGTCTACTTTAGGGATAAAGGCTCTGTGATCTTAGTGTTTTATGGTATATAGAGTTTACTAAAGCATTTAGACAGCATTATGCAAGTCACACAAGGATTTAGAAGAGCTTTATTTTGAAATACGCATAACTGAAAACGACCCAGCTGTTCAAAATTGGAGTGCAGGAATAACTTAAGGTTACTTTCTGTGACATAAGTAACTGTGTAACAAGCCAGAGATATAGATTTTTTACAGTAACTTTTTAAAGACTCTGCGTCAGTTCACCTTTTTTTGTCGGGCCTTTTCCGATCATGCGAAACAGCTCGGCAGTTAAACGTATTGTTTGAAATTTATTACAGCATGCATATGTGCTGAGAGAGTTTTATGCCTGTACGTGTGTCTCTGTGTGTGCCTGTGTAGCCTATAACCTGCAGGAAGTGCATCAGATGTGGTGCGGCCCGAGGCGAAGGACAGAGAAAGCCCTGCGGTGTTTGCGCAGCAGCAATCGGATCTTATCGTCGTCAGAGTCGGGGTCTAGAGGCTTGTTGTACTCCTCGTCCTCCACCTCATTCTCCGAGGCCTCTCCGGCCGGCCCCGAGTGGTTGGTCTGTGTGGAGCTGGGCTCAGAGGCGCTCTTCTTCCTCCACTTGGTGCGCCGGTTCTGAAACCAAACCTGAAAACACAACAGGGGAGTTGTCATATAACTCCCGTAGACCGGAGCCCTGCAGCTTATCGAGTATTCTTTTAAGCATTGTGTTACATGAAAAGGTATGGAAAAATAATCTGTGTCCCCATTTCTGCTTGAGGGTGAGTATGTGCTGGTATATGATCTGCAGATTTCTATCGCTGCACTTGAATTTACACACGACATGTATGCTTTTTTATGTGGCAGCTTTCAAAACAAGACAACACTACTTGGTATAAAAAATAAATATACCACAAGAAATATATATCAGTGACTGTCGAACACACACAAAAATAAAAATCTTATTTACACTCATCTCAAATGTAAGCAGATTCTGGCGACGTTACCTTGACTTGTGATTCAGTCATTCCCAGAGAATAAGCCAGTCTCGCTCTCTCTGGCCCTGCCAAATACTTTGTCTGCTCAAAAGTTTTCTCCAGAGCAAATATCTGATGTCCACTAAATGTCGGTCTGGTGTGTTTTTTCCTGCTGGACATCTCCCCAAGAGGACCACTGCCTGAAAAAAAATAAAAAATAAAAACACATTACATGAAACTGATGTGTGACACAGGACTGAATGTTTCTGCCTGAAATGCCACAGCATTTTGGCTCATTGCTCAGGAAAAAAATGACCACATATATATTTCCCTCATAGACTGCATGTATTTGTTGTTTATACACTGAACCGAAGTAAAATATCTCCATTTGTGAATTAAATGAAACATAATTTTTCAATCATCTACATAATTAAATGAAATCTTTTGAATGAATATTTGACATGTTTATTGAATAAATTAGTTTAAAAGATCTGTTTGTATTTTCCTTTAGTCTGCACAACTTCTAATAAACAACAGATTGTTACATTTTAATAAATGGATTTTCAACGTTTTAATACAAAAAGAGAGAAAAAGTTTTAGTCATATCAAAAATCGAACCTCGAGTCTGAACTCAATAGATAACAACTTTATAACAGATCTGATTCTGAAATTTGTGTATTTACTGGATAATGTTTCCATTTTTAAAGTGGAAGATCAGAGTGCGATGACAGTGCTGAGGAGCTGCTGCTGCTGCTGAGCCCGCTCTGCAGTATTTAGACTCACTGTTGGTGCACTGCTGCCTCCCTCCTCTCCACTCACAGCTGCTTTCTGCCCAGCAGTTTACACTGCGACTCTTCATCGGGCACTCGGCGCCGGGTTTGGAGAAGCCGCCCAGTGAGGAATTGTAGTCTCGATTGTAGTACATGGAAGTGCTGGTGACAGAGGGGCTGAACCCCCCCATGCTGGAGTATCCGGGCAGCAGGGTGGTGGTGCCCGAGGAGCCCACCCCGACCATGGAGCGGCTCAGGATGTCACTGATGCCATGAGGCGTCCCTGGCTGCAGCTGGCTGTTCAGGCCCGGGCTGAGCTTGTAGAAGGAGTTGGGCATTGAGTACTGGCACACTGGTGCCTTGATGTCTGAGGGGAACTGGTTGAGGCTGTTGTTAAACAGGAAAGACCCCTGGATGTTTGGATCCATGGGAAGTCTGGTAACTCTTCCTCTAGGTCTTATCAACACATCCAATGAGATCCAAGTAGAAAAAGATATTTGGTGGCCAAAGAAGGAGCTCTCTCACCAGCAGATGAGGTCGGAGTTTGGTACCACACCCTCCGTCTCCAGATAGTCAAACAATTAGGAGCACGAGCAGCAAAGTCTCTGATCTTTGTCAAAGTTGCCACCACATCCGAAAAATAAACTTCACTCGCACATTTGATTTCTTCTTATCCACAGCTTGGCATGTGATAGCTCCATATCTGAAGTCTCCTGCGAGTCCTCTGGACACGGATTTTAGTGTTCTCCGAAAGACATATGCCTCCCGCTGGCTCCCTCCTCAGAAATCATAAATAAGCAGTATCTGGAAATGGAGTGGCACCTTGATAAAGATAGGCCACATTAGAATGCAGCTTGGGATTGGCCTGGGTCTCGCAGCATTAATGCCATTCTATTGGCTCCTCGGTGAAAGCCAAGCCTTTTATTGGAAGGCAGCAGATTAATAGTGTTTTGAACAGGTGGAGTGGGAACAAGTTGATTTTTTGATGGCCTGCCATGTGTGAGTGCAGCTGGAGTGAAGAGGAGGAGTGGAGGAAGGGTTCCCCTGTTTCCTAGTTTGATAGCAGAACAGTCCAGTTTTGTATAAAGAAAATGTTAAATGTTTGTTGTATATTATATAATTATAAAATGAAAAACAAAACATAAAGACTTGGTTTACAGATAGACATTCTTAAATCTGTGATGTGTGAGGATTTGGTCTATCATTATTTATTTTCCTCTTTCCTATTCCTATTTATAAATCTATTTACCTCCACCGAGGCATTATCAGAAAGGTGATCAATCTAAGCACCACCCTTAGTCAAATATATACTCACTGGCCACTTCATTAAGTACACCTCTACAACTGCTGGTTAATACAAATATCTAACAGCCAGTTACAAGGCAGCAACTCAGTGAACTGAAGCATGTAGATGCGATTAAGACAACCTGTTCAAAGCAAGTATCGAAATGGAGAAGAAAGATGATTTACATGAGTTTTAAGGCTTTTGAGGCTGGTTCTGAGGGAGTCTCTTCCTGTTAAAATGCCATTTTCCTTCCCACAGTCACCAAGTGCTTGCTCATAAGTAGGTTGTTTTATTGTTGGGGTTTTCTCTGTATTATCGTGAGGTCTTTATAAAGCACCTAGAGGCAACTGTTTTTGTGATTTGGTGCCATAGAAATGAAACGGGATTGAACTGAATTGCCATTATAAAATTCTGCTTAGACATTTGGAGGGTAGGGTCAGAATTTGGCATGAAAACAACCATGGATCCATCCTGGCTTCTTGTTGTTGGTAGGATATTTTCTTGGTTTTGAACCCCTTAGTGCCAAGTGACATAAACTCCACAGCCTACCTGAGTGTTGTTATTCACAACATTTGTTCCTTTATAACCACAGTACACACATGTTCTGGTGGGTGTCACAGAGCTCAAATAATCTCAAACTGGTTTCTTGAACATGAAAATGACTTCACTGTACTCACTTGGCCCCCGTGAGATCTCATTTTAATAGAACACCTTTGACATGTGGTGGAACAGGAGCTTTGCATCAAGGATGCACAGAAACTATGTTGCTGCAGATTTGACAGTGTGGGCCAAAATCTCTGAAGAACATTTTTAACACCTTGTTGAATTAGGACACTGAGAATTAAGGGAGGAAAAAAATGCAATAAAGTTGCTCCTGTGGCCCAGCATCTTAGAGAGTTTTACTTTAATTTGTCGCACATCTATATCTTTAATCTCTTTAAACAAAATGTGTCTTACACAGAGTTGTGAGGCAAAGGACATTGGTTAAATTAAATGCAATTTGGTCACAATATTCACTGGCAAAATCTCATTTCTTATTTTATTTATCAGTGTAATAATGTGCCATGTAATCCACTCTGTTTTTGCACATTAACCAACTATTCAGGAGGACTGGCAACTGTGTCATTTAACTATGTGGCATAAAAAAAAACCCATCAGATTTTATAATCATGCAAATGAATTGTTGTGATTTATATTAGAGTTATTCTGTGGACTTGTTTCTGGGAAACAGCAGCAGCACAGTGGCTGCTTTGAAAAGAGTTAATGACTCAGGCAGACCTTTGTTTCTGTGTTGCAAAGGCTTTAGCACAATTTCCTCATCCATTATCATGTAGGTTAAACATGTCCTGTGGGAGGACTATTTCCGGCCTAATATGTGGACTTTTCTTTTTCGTGTTTCTTGGAATTTCTTTAACTATTTGATTACAGTTTAATAATAAACCTTTATGTAAACTTACAGATATCAGGTATGACTTTTATTATTTGTATTTTTTTTGTTTTTTTTAAATAAAGTACTCAAATGCTTTAAGTGCATGACATATGGAAAGTATTGCATTCTTAACCCAAAAGGCGCAAAATACAAGTTGAATGACATGAATAGTGTACACAACACGCTCTTCTCATTTTTCAATCAGTTTTACACGTTGGAACACATCGCTGCTCTTACGTACAGTATATCAGTGACGAAATGTTGGGATTTTCTCGGGAAAAGGGGGAGAGCTGGTAAATTTCCGAACGTCATGATCTCACAGCTGTTACAAGCTATAATTTCGTCCTGTCACGGGACCTGAGCAGCCAATCATAGCACCTGTAGAGGGCAACACATCCGCTTTAGAGATTAATCACAACCAGCCAGAGATGTGTAATGAAGCGTCACCTGCTTCCATTGCAGGCATGTCTAGATTCTCCTTTAAGTTCACACTCACAGTCATTCCGGAAAATAATGTTGGATATGGTAAAAAATTTCCATGATGCAAATCTTAAAACAAGATAATGTAATTGGTATTTAATGTGTTTAATGGGAAGGAGGCTGCACTGCATTTCTGATAGAAACAGCAGTGAGTGCAGCATGTTAAGTGAAGAAAACGATACTGAAAAATCTTTTTGAGACAGTGATACAGGACCAAACGCATTCTTATTCGCCATGAACATTGTCTTTTGTCCTAAGCCACAAAATAATTACAGATAATGAAAATGAAACTAGTTGCATGTGAGCAGAATTCACACAAATCATAATGTGTCTGTGTGCTTTTTTTGTTTGAACTTTTACTCCAAAGGTCAGTACCTAAAAAGAAATCACGAGACAAACAGTCCTCTATGGGAAAAAAAACCCCCAAACTACCCTGGTCTTTTTTTTTCGGGGGGGATTTTAGGTGAATTTCCAAAGTATGGCTCCTCCCTCCCGTCCGTCCCACTTCTTTAACTTGTCATGCTGGAATTGTTTCTATTTCCAAACCACATGTGCTCCAGACCAACACACAGACGCGATCACATCTTCTATTAAGACGCATATGAGAAATATTATCTCTTCAAGATGGTGAAGAAGAGCAACAACACGAACTCCGGTAAGTCCTTATAGAGAATTTGATGCATAAAAAGCAACAAGAAAAAGTTGTAATTGATTTTACTAAATGAAAGAGCAATACAAATTCAATTTCACATGTTAGTAGCATTTTTTTCTTTTTGTGTGTAAAAAACATTTTCTAAACTGTTCATTAAGAAATGTTTTATGGCTGCAGCACCACTGCAGATAAGAGAGGGAGAACAGAAAGTTTATATTTTACAGGAAATGGTCTGCTTGTTACTAATGAAGGTATACGCAATAACTGTGTGAGTCACACCTGCAAGATAAATCTTTGAAACTGCCTTGCAGACGAAGCTGACTGCAACTCACCTTTGACAGATAGATGAGGCAACTTGTAGAGTTCACTTTAAGCTTAAGGTTACTAAGCGTGGATGAAACTTCATGTACTTGTCAAAAGTGAACACTCTTGAACTACTATATTAGTTACGTTAACATGATTTATAGTATAATTACTAATACATAGATCAAATATTAACAAATAAAATTTCACAAGAATGTTTTGTTAAAGTAAATGATCACACTCACACAGTTTGAATCTGACTGATGATAGATCATAGAACCTGTTAATTAACCATTAAATGCAAGTATATTGTTACAATGATCAGTGATTTTCATTTACTAAACCATGTTCTGCCTGTAAAATAATCTGCTGTGTTTGTGTTTTTATTCTTTGTAGTTCTCCAGTCAGAGGTGTCACACAGATGCAGTCTGCTCTGTCTCGGTCCTCTGAACTTCCACCGTCAGGCTGTGGGGGAAAAGATCTGCCTGAGTCATGGAGATCGACTCGCAGAGAAGACCGAGGCCACGTTCAAGAATGGGCTGGTGTTCAGCAGCCGTCCAGTGAGAGTCCAGGAGAGGATTCGACTGAAAGTGCAAAGGGATTCATTAATCTGGGATGGGGCTCTGCGTGTGGGCTTTACCAACGTGCCACCCTCAGCCAGATCTCTACCTCTGCCCTGCATGGCCATTCCCAACCTCACTGACAAGCCTGGACACTGGGCTGTTCCACTGGATGAATCTGCTTGTGGAGCAGGTTCAGAGCTGGAGTTTTGGGTTTCTGATGGTGGCAGCATATACGTAGCTGTCAACAACAGGCCGTGTAAGAAGCTAACAGGAGTGAACCTCAGCCAGCCTCTGTGGGCCATGATAGACATCTACGGGCAGACGTGCTCCATTTTGCTCCTAGGCAAGTTCACTAGAACCACAGTTACAGCAGCTTTTCTTGGTGTCCAAAGGCACAGCATGCTCTGACAGTGATAAATGTTGTCTGAATGCCTATTAAAACATTTTTTTCTCTTTGCTGCAGGTTCAGAGAAACGTAAGCTGTTTTGCACCAGAAGATCGTGTCCTCCACCTGAATCCCTCACTTCACTTGCTGGTTCAGTTTCTGATGTTTCAGACTTCACTGATGATGACTGCATCTCCTGTCTTGACGCAGAAGTCCCAACAGGTAAAAAGAGTCCTTTTAAACATTGCTGATTTCAGTTGCACATTTCTGACCACAGAGTGTGGTCTCATTTCCTGATGTCACATTTTTCTAATTCAGGATCTCTCTCTTCTGGTCACAGATATAGCCTGTGCGGTGTGCATGGTGAAAGAGGCCAGAATCACACTGCCGTGTGGCCACCGGTGTTTATGTAAACACTGCAACTCCAGAGTTTTTCAGGAGTTTGGCACCTGCCCGCTGTGTCGACACAAGATCACAGGTCCATCGGCAGAGGAGCTGGTCTGACCTCCGAGACAGAAGCCAGAAATCACCAAAGAGAAGTTACAGAGTGACTGTAACAGTGAAAATACTGCACTAAATGCAAAATCTGCTGCTATTTATATATTATTTATAACTTTGTCTGTACAGTGTACCTTTCTACCTTGATGCAAATCTTAAAGCAGTGTTGTATTTTTGTATGTCTGAAAATTGTAATGTGTTGATGGTAAAAAAGATAAACTCTATTATGTTTTAAGGGTTAAAAAAAACCCTCAAAAACAATATTTTTCAATGAAGCGTGTTTAGGAAAAGAAGCATCTGTCTACCCCTCATGTCTCTACAGTCAGGAATGAGCAGACGTGAAAATAAATGTTGGTTTTCAGATAAGAGCAGATTGTGTGGCTGATTGTAAGAACAGAAACGTGCTACAATGTGTTCATTTCCAAACATGCATTTGTGTTTGCACGTAGGAAGAATAATGATGCAAATATGCATAAAAAAATTACACGAGCAAGAGCAGACTGTGTGGCTGATAATAGAAAAACTACACTCCCAAATCACTGATCAGGTCATGTTGTGGTCACCAAACATAACTATAGCAATCTTAATTTAACACAAACACATTTTTTTACCTTTTAATTTACAAACATATGTTTATATAATTCTTTAAATGTGAAAGTAAATTAACCTAGTTCCATCATTACTTGATTTTTACATATTTCAATATTTATAAAATGTTTCATCAAACTAAAAATAAATAATCAGAGTGAATTATTACATAAAAGTGGTCAAAATAAACTGAAACAGCAAAGATTTGTTTGCACTTTGTCCTTCAATTCCAAAATGAACACAATCAGACATGTTTGTGCTGCCTTTGAGTTTGTGTTCAGTACTTAAAGTTGGTGTTTATGAGTAAAAACTAACAATATTAAATCAATCTGTGAACAGAAAACGTAACAACAGTAAGACCTTTGATGTGAGCAGAAATGGGCAGTAACACATTTAAGGTAACGTGCTTTCAAGTAATGAGTAAAGCAAGGGATTTCTATTGCAAGAAAAGTAATTCGATTACTGTTACTTTCCTGTAAGCACACTGCGTTACTAAACCGTGATTTTGTTCGCGGGAGTGTCTCGTGACAATGACGTACGAGCGTGCGACGCCCGTGGCAACAACAGATGCGTGTTGATCAGCAATGGATAATATGGAGTGTGGGAGACAGTACGGCCATGCAGCGTTTAAAGCGTGGACGTACTGACCTTACTTTGAGTTTGATTCTCGTAGAAAGTGACAAAAACATTAGCTTCCGCTGTACACACTGCGTGGGAACAGGAATGTGAAATTCACAGAGAAACCCCAGCATCCCCCCACTGACATGACCACTGCGGCACCAGGCAAACCTCCGCCTGCTCCACTCCTGATAAAAACTAGGTGAAAATAGACTCAAGAGCGACAGGACTTAGTGCCACTGAATCTTTGATTTTATTTATTTTTTGCTGTGTTTTACTTGCATCTATTTGAAAGAGTGAATATAAACACAAAAAAATAATTTTATTTTATATGCTGGAATATGCAGAAAGTAGGTTAAAAAAATGTCTCCAAGTCAAAGACTTGCATGTATAATTTTTGCTTAATGCAATATGCATAAAGTTAAAAGATTAAAACTTATAAAACAATTTTTAAAAGAGACTTTTTCACTTGATTCAATTTTATATGATGGATTATGCAGAATAAATAGAATTGGGATAAAATGTTTATTGCTTAATTAGATATTCAGGTTGTGTATCATGTTTTTAAAAAGTAACTAAGTAATAAAGTAAATAATTACTCTTGAAAATAAGTAACCAGTAAAGTAACAGGATTACTTTCTTGGAGCAGTAGTCACTAATTAGTAACTAATTACTATTTTCAAGTAACTTGACTAACACTGGTCTTTAGGTTTCCTGATGTCTTCATTTAGCTGATATTGGCGCTCCAACACACCCAACTGTGAACACAAGTTAATTTAGATGACCATAAATATTGGTATGTCCACTGTAACAAAGAGCTCAAAAAAGCCCCAAATTCAGGACTCCAAACTCTTGGAAAAATTCCAAATTCAAAAACTTTAAATCCAGACGATGGTCGTTTCAATCATTTTGTGGATTCAAACCATTCAGGAGGAGCAGAGGATACCTGAAATCCAAAAACGAAATGAAACTAACAAGGGTGCAAAGAACATTGGAATAAAAAAATAAAAGAGGAAATGACTAATAATCAAATCACCAAATTATGTTATTGTTCACATCAGGTAATTTTCCAAACTTTGGTGCCTCCCTCTGTCCCTCCCCATTCCCTTTACTGGTGATGCTGGGCGTGTGTTCATACTTCACGTACTTCATCATTCAAAGGTAGTCAACACTCATGACTTGATGACTCTCAACCTCATCATCCATCAGGACTCACATGACAAGATTTATTTGCACCTTCAAGATGGCAAGAGAAAGTAAGAAAAAGAACTCTGGTAAGTCTTTACAGAGAATTTTATATCTCAGTTTGATAAAGGAATCATTATCAAGCTGATGTTTGGTTGCAAAAATCAACTTACAGCAGCTCATTTTATTCTTTTACAGAAACTTAATGCAGAAACAAGACAATGCAAAAGTAAACATTGAAAAACAGCAAAGTGCCATAAAGCAAGTGATTAGAAAATGAGTTCAAAGACAGAGTGCTAATAATGAGCTGCACACTGAAGTTTCTTGTAAAAAGAAACTAGAAGCTTTGTTTCTTTGGAAATTAAAATCTTTCCACTGATGATAAAACACAGAAAACAAATCAACACAGGCCATCTAGTGGACTGAGACGGCAACACAGACTTCACCAAACAAACGCTGCAATCTCCAGCACTGAATTTCTCAGCTTGGATGAAGTCCAGACCAAACAAGCTTCTTTGTGAAACCACAGCAGTTTTCTGTTTACATGTTTATCTATTTCTCGATTGTTAAGAGGAAACTTTGGCTTTAAATGTATTATTAAATATGAATCAATAACTTTGATATTTAGCTTCTTTTAATTAAGTAAATGCGATATGTCACCTACCTAAATGTGCAGTTAAAAAATCTTAAATAAATCTTAAGACACAGACATGGTTTCATATGTTTCCATTTTCTATCTTTGTAGTTCTTCAGTCAGAGGTGTCACACAGATGCAGCTCACGCTGTCTTGGTCCTCTGACCTTCCACAATCAGGCTGTGGGAGAAAAGGTCCGCTTGAGTCATGGAGGTCGACTTGCAGAGAAGACTGAAAACACCTTCAAGAATGGGCTGGTGTTCAGCAGCCGTCCAGTGAAGGTCCAGGAAAAGATTCGTCTGAGAGTGCAGAGGGATTCGACCAACTGGCAGGGAGCTCTGCGTGTGGGCTTTACCACTATGCCACCCTCAGCCAGATCTCTACCCCTGCCCTGCATGGCCATCCCCAACCTCACTGGCAAGCCTGGACACTGGGCTGTGCCTGTAAATGAATCCTACTGCCAAGCAGGTTCAGAGCTGGAGTTTTGGGTTTCTGATGGTGGCAGCATATACGTAGTTGTCAGCAACAGGCAGCACAAGTTGCTGACAGGAGTGGACCTCAGCCAGCCTCTGTGGGCCATGATAGACGTCTACGGGCAGACGCGCTCCATTTTACTCCTAGGCAAGTTCAACCACAGTTATATTTGCCTTACAGCAGGTTTTTCCTGTTCTGTGAAGCCAGAGCATTTCACATGCTCTGACAGCGATAAATGTTGTCTGAATGACTTTTAAAATATTATTTTCTCTGTGCTGCAGGCTCAGAGAAAAAAGATCTATTTTGTACCAAAAGATCCTGTCCTGCACCTGAACCCCTCACCTCACCTGATGCTTACAGTCACTTTGGTTCAGTTTCAGACTTCAGTTGTGATGACTCCTCCTGTCTTGACATGAAAATGCCAGAAGGTGAAAACAGTCCCTTCAAAAGTCGCTATCTGATTTCAGTTGCACATTTCACACAGAGTGTGGTCTCATTTCCTGATGTCACATTTATCTAATTCAGGATCTCTCTCTTCTGCTCACAGATATAACCTGTGTGGTGTGCATGGTGAAAGAGGCCAGAATCACACTGCCGTGTGGCCACCGGTGTTTATGTAAACCCTGCAACTCCAGAGTTTTTCAGGAGTTTGGCACCTGCCCGCTGTGTCGACACAAGATCACAGCTTCATCAGCTCTGATCTTGTGAGTAGTGGTGTGTTTCAAGTCTGGTCTGAGCTCCAAGACAGAAGCCAGAAATGTGACTGTTACAGTGAAAATACTGCACTTAATGCAAAATCTGCTGCTATATTTATATTATTTATAATGATAACTTTGTCTGTACTGTATACTTTTCTACCTCGATGCAAATCTTAAAGAAGTGTTGTATTTTTGTATGTCTGAAAATTGTAATGTGTTGATGGTAAAAAACATAAACTCTACTATGTTTTAAGGGTACATGCTGTAAAAAAAAACCCTCAGAAACAATTGTTTCAATGAAGCGTGTTTAGGAAAAGAAGCATCTGTCCACAACTCATATCTCTACAGTCAGGAATGAGCAGAAGTAAAAATAAATGTTGGTTTTCAGATAAGAGCAGATTGTGTGGCTGATTGTAAGAACAGAAACGTGCTACAACGTGTTCATTTCCAAACATGCATTTGTGTTTGCACGTAGGAAGAATAATGATGCAAATATGCATAAAAAATGACACTCTCAAATCACCAATCAGGTCATGTTGTGGTCACCAAACATTACCCTTTATCCTTTAACATTTTCACCCTTTAATCCACAAACATACACTGTAAAAAAAATTGTAATATAAAAGTATTTTACTGTGTATTTTACATATTTGTACTGTTCTTCTAGAATATCATTCAATTTACATAAATAGACTGTGATTTTACACTTTAATTTAAAATGTAAATTAACGTAAAATCACTGTAAATGTAATAAAACGGAATTTTCTTGTTTTTTAAATGTATTTGTCTGTACATATGCATATTTAGATTATTAAAATACATTCACAATAATTTCACAAATATCATATCATAATTTCACAAATGTTTGTCCGTTATTTGAAAGATTGAACTGTTAAATTTAAATGTAATGTGATGGAAAAATATATAAAATGATTCTTATAAACTTCTTTTACATCAAATAATAATAATTATTATTGTTATTTAGGGCGATCATGGCTCAAGCGTTGGCAGTTTGCCTTGTGATCCGAAAGTTGCCGCTTCGAGCCCCGGCTCGGACACTCTCGGTACCACTAGGTATCTAAAACCTAAAACCCAACCGTGGTTAAATAATGACACCAGGGAATGCAGACGGGCATGTAGAAAAGCGGAAAGAAAATGGAAAAAATGCCATCTCCAAGTGTCGTTTAAGGCACTTAGAGAATCCCTGTCAAGTTACCGGAAAGTTGTAAGAGCAGCTAAAATAAAATACTTTTCCAAGATTGTGTCCAACAACTGTTATAAACCTCAGATTTAATTTGGTATTATAAACTCCTCTTAATCCTCCCACTGCTCATCCTCATATAGCAGTGAACACAACAAGTTGGAATCTAATGAAATTCTTCATTAATAAAATTGTAGATATTAGATCCCACATTATTCCTCCCATTTCTGACCCAGGTGTTTATACTCCAACATTGGCTGTTTTTGATCACTTTGAGCCAGTATCCCTTTCATTACTTAATGAAGTAGTCAGAAACTTGAGACCTTCAAAATGTACCCTGGATATCATTCCACCTAGGTTACTGAAAGCTGTTTTTAACACTGTTGGTACATGTCTGCTTTCCATTGTCAATAGCAGTCTTCAGTCTGGGTCTGTTCCCTCTGATTTTAAACATGCTGTGGTGGAACTCATCCTTAAAAAGCAGAATCTGGACTCAACAGTTCTATCAAATTACCGCCCAATCTCTAAATTGTCCTTTTTGTCAAAAGTGCTGGAGAAAATTGTCCTTCTGCAGCTCCAGACCTTCTTAGAATAACATGACATTGGTGAACTATTCCAATCTGGTTTTAAAACGCACCACAGCACTGAAACCACTCTTTTAAAAGTTTCTAATGACCTTTTAACTTTTACCGACTCTGGAGATTCTGCTATTTTAATATTATTAGACCTCAGTGCTGCTTTCGACACAGTAGATCACAGGATTCTTATCTCTCGACTGGAACAATGTGCCGGAATTAAAGGGCTTGCTTTGGAATGGTTTAAATCCTACTTATCTAATCGTACTTTCTCTGTTAGATTCAGAGACACATTGTCTCCAAAGACGACCCTTTTTTGTGGGGTCCCCCAGGGCTCTATCCTTGGT